CGGCGATTATAAGAAATACATTCGCTGAGTATTTCGAAGGAGATGGTGCAGTTACATGGCAGTGGGAAAAGGCATTTCGCAATGAATTTTGAACATTTAATTTCAAAATCAAATATCTAAATATGTTATTCAAAATTACTTACATGCTAAAAAATGTGATAAAAGGTTCTTTTTTATTTATATACAGCACTAAGGATATAAGGAATTTAAATAAGTTATAATATACAATAAATTTAATGTATCAATAATAACTTTTATTAAATCTATTTCGTGAACATTTATTATTTGATATTATAAAAAAATAAAACTAAGATATGTAATTATTATCACAGACATGTAAGTACAACTAAACGTATATTTGAACTGTTACACCCATAACAATTTTTTAAATAACATGTCTTAAACCTCATTAAACTTTGTTATATATTCTCAAATTTTGTATACTTGAGATCTTTCTATATATGTATTATTTAATCTTTATAAATCGAATATTTTGTTTTAGTCTTTAATAATTTAATAACTTTCTTTGATTACGAAATTAAAAGCAAAATAAAAAAAAATTCAAACAAAATAAAAGAAATATCGCATCTTTGGTTAAATTAAAAAATTAACAACTCTCCTCATTGTTTTCAAACTCTGCTTCTGTAGTCATTTGAAGAAATTTAATTTCCAACATAACTCTCTTTCGGTATGGCAAACGTCGTAAAGCCTCACCTAGAGTTTTTAAAAAACCATCTATGGCATCATTTTCAGGAACAGGTATCTTTAAAATATCTAATAGAGCAGTTTGTAACTCTTGTGACTGGTCATGCTTCTTTCGTTCTGTAAACAAAATTAAATTAATGTTAGAAAAAATAATATGCATACCAATCTCACATACATAATTGTATGTATATATATGTATATATGTACGTATATGTATATATACTTTTTGAGACTGATGAAGATGTTGAGTTGAATGATAAGCGTCCAGGGCTTGACAATGCAGATGATTCGTGAGAACATACATCTGGTCCAACATCTGAGCAATCTGAGAAGTCGTTACTTTCATTTTCCTTTTGTACCAAAGATGATTTTTCAACCGTCGTTGATAATGTGCTTATTGTTCTGTAAAATACTATTTCGTTTATATTATTTTATTTTATGTATGTAAAACTATAAATAGTTTTGTACAATACATACGATGTAGTCGGAAATGTATCATCCAAGGGTCTCATTAGTTCGAAAAATCTATAATTAGATTTTACATTTACTGCAGATGCATCAGACCCACTCGGCACATACTGTTTTACTTTTTTCCTGGCTCTTATATAACAGTCACGATGATACTTCCATTTTTTTTGTAATTCTTTTATACTCAGATTACCTATTTCAAAGAGTTATTTTTTAATCTTATCACACAATTCTAAAGAAAACAATAAATATCTTATTCTTTAATAACAGGTTATTAATATTAAATTCTTAGTACATGTTAATTTTACAGTAAAAGTTTTAAAATTTATATATACAGGGTGTCTGATGCAAAAGTAGCCACTTTGCAAATAGCGGTAGATTGGGTTAAACTAAGGAGAAATATCATGTACCGCGGTACAAAGTAACAATAGTTTTCGAGTAGTAAATTTACACGTTTGAGCGAATGAGGATGCAGGAGACGGTAGGCCGGACTCGGAAGGCATTTAAAAAAATCGATCGATGAGCCGGAGGTGGAGCGACGCGCGAGATACTATGTTTATGTTTCGGGTCGCTCGTCGCTCGCGCTCGCTGCCGCGCTCGCCGCCCGCGCCGCGCTCCCCGCCGCGCCTAGGTTTTTTCC